TGTTCGGATTATGAAATTAAAGAAGCTTGTTATACAGATTTTGAGAATTTTCAGTGCATTTGGGATATCAATTTAAGTAAGTGCTTCTCCTATCAATGTATTGATTACTGTGGCGATGGCATAGTTACAAATAAGGATGAATAATGTGATGATGGTAATTACTTACCATATGATGGTTGTTATAAATGTCAAGTTCAATGTCCATAAGGATGCAATTAATGTAATGGCAGATTGTGTTAAGAATGTAATAAGAATGGATGGAAATTAGTTGAAGGTGTTTGTACATCAAAATGTGGTGATGGCATTACTGTTGGGAATGAATAATGCGATGATGGAAATAATATTGAATTTGATGGTTGTTATTAGTGTTCTTTCTAATGTGACGAAATGTGTGTGGATTGTTTTTAAGGGCAATGTATTTTATGTAAAGATGGATATGTAGAAGATGGGCCAAAATGTTAAAATATTTGTGGAGATGGATATTTAGTATATTAATAAGAGTAATGTGATGATGGAAACCGTTAAAATAATGATGGATGCAGTAATACTTGTAAAGTTGAAAATAATTGGAAATGCTCAACAGATAATAATTTTAGTTTTTGCTCTTATGCTCTTCTACCTAAAATAATATTGACCAGGTTATCTAAAACTGATACAACTTCTCAAGAGTTTAAATTATCATTTTCTGAACCTGTGTGTCTCAATGAAAAAGCCATTAGTGAAGAACAATTTCTGCAGTTGATTTTTATTGAAATACTAGATCTCAAAGATAACGATTATGATATAGAAATTAAATCAATGATCTCTATCAGTACTTAATTATCAGATGTAGCTTATAAAATATTAATAAACTTTAAAACTAATGTTAAAAATCCTGTTTTAAAAGTCTAAGTTAATAGCGAAAACATAGTAAATAACTAAGGGAACACCTTGGTCTCAAAGGAGGCAAAATTGGAATTTAGGTCTCCTTACAAGATGTCATCTTATCAATTGTCCCTTATGTCTAAGACTTCCATGCTGAGTAAGATTGTATTGTATTTCATCATAATTATAAGTGGAATTTCTTTTTTATGTGGGAATTTAGAGATTTTATGGAATCTTCTTGATTTGCTGTAATAATTATCATATATGAAATTTCACAACATTGTCTTCCCCTAAAACTTAGAAAGTTATTTTGAAATCTTTACTATTGGTTCTTTTACTCCAATTTTTGATAAATTATAAATAGATCAGAATTTACAAGACATATTTAATTTCTAAATTCCGGTGATCTAAGCTAAATGGAAATTTTAATATTATGAAATTAATTGTTACTTTTTATAAAATCTCTAGACACTTTTGATTATGTTAATGATGGGATTTACCTATTATATAATTTCTTACATGTTTTAAAAATTTCTTATTTTAATCAATTATCAAAATTGGCCAACAGTTTATCAGAAAGATTATTACTTCAAAATAGCTAAATTTACTTTTTTCCTTTAGAAGATTGCAAGAAAATATTATTAGTATTTTATTTACTCTGGATTAATCAGAATTTTCACGTCTTCCTTTTATGAGCTGACATATTCATCTATTTTATAATTAGTAAATTTTAATACATTGACAACTTTAAACACAACTATCTCCTTACTAGCTCTTATTACATTAATATGTAACATTTTCCTATTAGCTATTTTTTCTTGTTATCTAAGCAAAAAGAATACAGTTGCAATGAATTTATCCGTATTGGTAGAGGGGATTAAGTCCTAAACTAATTAAGGAGCTAAATAATACTTTACAATTTTATTGATAAAAAAATCCTTATTTATTGTTAATTTAGTTGCAATGTAAGGTCTAATGGGGGCTTAAAGCCTCGTTACAGCATGCCTATCTGGAGTATTCTCTTGTTATTTTTATATATTTAAACCTTTTAAGAACAATTTTGAAAATATCAAAATAATAATAACAGAAGTGTTGATTGTGCTGAATCTTTTAATATTTTCCTTATATGAAATTCTCAAATTAAATCAAGACAAAGAGTAGGCTGAACGTTTAGGTTGGATTAATATATGTGGTTTCACATTGATACTTCTAACAACCTTATCCATAGATATATACCAATAATTTTTATAATATAAGGAGCTTGTGATAACTAAGGTCAATATGTGCCTAAGGATCTCTCATATCAAAACATAAAATTCTAGAATACTGTTTTTTTGATTTATAATTACAAATATTATGGATATATTTTCATGATTATATTCTGGCTAATATTGTTTTTCTTCTATGTATTCCTCATTATCAAGGCTAAAATATTATATTATCCTGAAAAATTTCTAAATGAAAATTGTTTACATCATATTGCTCATAAACTACATTTGGATATAAATTATTAATAAGGTTTGACAGGTTATGAAATGAGAATTCTGCTATAATCAGAACAACACAGTTCAAATAATAGATATCTGGTTTTCTGTTAAGATATCGGAATCATTGATTATATATTTGAAACAAGACACGTTTGAAATGCAAGGTTGCCAATTTTGTATCAACAAAGTTTACTCAAGACCCACTATTTCCAGTTGCGGTTTAGAAAATATATTAGTCATAAAATATCATTTATGCATATATTTTATTCAAAACAATTTATTCATGTTTTTGAAAAATTCATTCAATATATCATCGCTGTTAGAATGATATTAGAAGGCCAATATAACACTAGGTATTGCTTTATTATACTAGTAATACAAGAGAAGCTGAGAATGTATTTATATC